GTGAAATGCTGCACACACATTCATTACCCTCAGATTAGGGTCAGTGAAACTGTCAAAAAGTCGAGGTTCCGAGTTCCCACAAGGCTGGATAAATCTGGATGCTGAAACACACACACCCCAAAAAAAAGGAAACGGAAGGCGTTGTGGCTACCTTGGATCACAGCCCCTGAATTTCTTCTACTAATCACAAATATCACACTGCCAGTGCTCCAAGCTGTGGAGTCTTGTGAGCAAAAATTCTACGTTGTGTGCTACTGGCATTAAAGTTGTGAGCGAGCAATTTGGCTGCTGCATAAATTAGTTTGCTCTGGAGCCGTCCTTCCTGAGCCAAGACAAAAATGTGTGAGCTGGAGGCTAAAAATCTGTGAGCTAGCTCACACTAACTCATCTTAGAGGGTACATCCTGTTGGTCAGCCATGTTGGTCTGAAGCAGTAGAACAAATTTAGAGTGCAACAAAGGTATGAGCTTCCGTGTGCCTGCACACTTTTTTGAAAAAATGTGCATGCACACGAAAGCGCAGGCCTTGAATAAACCTTTGTTGGTCTTAAAGGTGCCACTGGACCAATGTTCCCTCTAAGCTGTGGAGTCTTGTGAGCAAAAATTCTACTTTGTGAGCTCCTGGCATTAAAGTTGTGAGCGAGCGATTTGGCTACTGCATAAATTAGTTTGTTCTGGAGCCATCCTTCCTGAGCGAAGGCAAAAATGTGTGAGCCAGAGGCTAAAAAACTGTGAGCTAGCTCACACTAACTCAGCTTAGAGGGAACAGTGCACTGGACTCTAAATTTGTTCTTCAGCTTAGAGAGAACACTGCACACTGCTCTCACTTTTTGGTATCGCCCCTGAATCATCACAAGGAATTTGTTTCTTTTCATCACTGCTCTGTGGAATCGACATTCTCAGTGAGTTTTCCATTCTGCCCCAGTGCTGTTTTTCCTGCAGGTGATGCAGATGCCAACAGAGGATATTCCATTGCAAAACCAACCCAACCAGCTTTCAAGAGCGAGCTGGCAAACTGCAGCAATGAAAGCAAACAGGGACAGATGGGGACTGAGTCTTGGGAACGGCACCACTGTTTTCACCTGCTGGTTTGCTCCCAGCTAAAATAAGCAGAAAGTTTTCAGGCTTGGCTATGAGCAACATATGGCAACCATGATGGTTGCTGGGGAAGGGAGACGAAGAATCCCTATACTAATTTCATCTTTGGATTTGTCCATACACTCCAAGGTGCCAGCTAGGAAGATCCAGCCACTCTGGCCATAGTCAGTGGCTCCTTTTGCCCCCTGCCCCAAGACAAATAATTCCAGAGGAAGTTCTAAGACAAAGGATTCTTTTTGACAAGACTGCTGTGTGTTCTACCCTGTGTGCATAGTAAAATACATTGTCATGCAAGCTACTGCTCACAGAGAGAACTGGATTTATACCCCACCATTCATTACCCGAAGGAGTCTCAGAGCAGCTTACAATCCCTTTTCCTTCCCCTTCCCACAAAAGACACCCTGTGAAGTAGGTGGGGCTGAGAGAGCTCTTGGAGAACTGCCCTTGAGAGAACAGCTCTGAAAGAACTTATAACAGCAAAAAACAAGGGGCAGCAGTATGACAATATTAGTATACAAAAGAATTACTGCAACAGTGCAAAGATGAACTCTCTTTATCAAACAACAGTCTCCTATCGAAATACTGTATGTATTCCTTTTTACATATCGTTAAACATTGTTTATTAACATGATGTTGTGGCTGGATGGTTCCCCTAGCATTGAGCGTTGTTTATCTTTAATAGGAGACCGTTGTTTGATAAAGAGAGTTCGAAACGAACGATTAGCTCTGGGGAAGTTCGTCCTTCTTCAATGACTGACGGTTGACATCCTTCTGTGAAAATAATAAACACCATGAAGTGACTATATATTATGTACAAGATCTATGAGGTTTTCATCTTTGCACTGTTGCAGTAATTCTTTTGTATACTGAAAGAACTTATGACTGACACAAGGTCACACCAGCAGCTGCATGTGGAGGAGTGGGGAATCGAACCCGGTTCTCCCAGATTAGAGTCTCGCTCTTAACCACTACACCAAACTGGCTCTCTGCAAAGCCACGTACTAGACCCCTGTGCTATCTTTGGTGTAGCCTCTCCAGTTCGGCCACCCCTCCCCAAGATATTTCCCCAGCCTTGATTCCTACGAACAGGAGATGCCGAGGACTGAACTGCAGCCCTTTAACATACAAAGCAGGAAGACTCCCACGGAGCTATTTCCCCTCCCATCTAACTGTAGCAGAGCGATCTGGCCAGGGAAGGCCATGGCAGCTCTCCAGGGTGTTTATTTTCCTAGCCAAGAGCATTTTTGCTCAATGTGGTGGGGAGTTGCAAAAGCTCCAAGAGAGATTCAGTGACTTGCTGGAGAGCCAAGAGGGTCTATAATAAGGGAGTGCCCGAAACACCCTGGGGAGTCTCTGCTTTGTATCAGAACGGACTCCCATTTCAGGGTTATCCATCCTGGGGAAAAGCAGTGTCGTGCGATCTCCCGTGGGCGTGTGCCCTGCATCCTTATTGCAAGCCTTGCATTATCGCCAACGAACACACGAGAAGCTGCTTTAACCGGAATCAGATCGTTGTCTGCTCTAAGTGGCAGCTGCTCTCCAGGTTCTCACATGAAGACATGAAACTGCCTTATACTGAATCAGGTTCTTGGTCCATCAAAGTAAGTACAGTCTACTCAGACTGGCAACGGCTCTACCGGGTCTCAGGCAAAGGACTTTCATATCACCTGCTGCCAGGTCTTTTACCTGGGGATTGAACCTGGGACCTTCTGCATGCCAAGCAGATGCTCTGCCACCGAGCCACAGCCCCTCCCCTAATCAAGATCAAAGTTGTCCACGTCACCTCCCACCTGATCCTTTTAACTGCAGAAGCCGAACCTGGGACTTGCTGCATGCAAAGGAGGCGCTCTGCCACGGACCCTCCTCAGCATGGAATGCGCCAAAGCTGCTGTTTTGAACTCCTGCAGTCTCTAACTCCAAGGCCCAGCTGCCGAAAGGGGATGTTCCAGAATTCCCAGATCAGCCCTGCCTGCAACGAGGAAGGTTTCAAGTCCTCCTTTAGACAAGAGGAAAGAACGGAGACCGGAGGCAGCAACTGGAGGTTTATTTGGTCTCGTTTCACAGGCTTGGCCCTTTCCAAGCTGGGCTGGGCTTGACACAGGTGGCTCCCTCATGCAATCGGAGTGGGAAAGGCACGAGGGAGCCTGGCACAGGCACAAATTAAAAAGGGGAGGGGGGGAACACAGTAGAATTGCACATTCCAAGTGCTAATGATTGCCAACTGCAAGAGCACCACTTGCTGCGGAATCCTGATCGTGACAGGTTTGGCACGTGTGCCCCGCACACACACACACACACACACACACACACTCCTCACTGAACAGGTGGACAATGCCCTAACCACAAGCAGCCCCTCCCATTTCCAACTGGCCTCCTCCCATGCTGGCAAATCTGGGCATGTGCACTATGTGCTCACTCTTGCGCACAAAGTATTGCAAAGGTTGCCTTGGCACTCGGTTCCTGCAGCAGAGTTTGCACTACTGCTGGGGAGGGGGAGGAATGTTGTAAAGGAGATTTGGAGGGGGTGTCTCACACACACACTTGACACATCCATACGCACGCCCCACCTCCAGCGGGCACAGTCATGGGGCCAGCCGGTGAATGGAGAAATGATGAGGAAGAAAGATAGCTGCCAGTCAGCAAGTCTGGCTGATCTACTGGCCCAAGGGAGGAGAGAGCGCCCTGGCAAGATCCACAGTTGGCATGTGCAGAGGTGGGTAAAGGGGGGAGAGTTCCTCCTCTCACAGATATGACTGGTTAGTGTTCATTATGCAGAGCATGAAAAAAATGGTTCTCCCGTCATACTGCCTTCCCCCTCCCACTGCTCTCAGTAGGCACACATGCACAAACACACACCCTCCCCACTTCCTCAGCCCTCTGTTGTATAGGGCCCTTGTGTCCGCGGTAAGTGGCTTCACATCCTTGAAAGAATTGGTTGCAGGAACTCAGTGAACGACAAGGTGGGGGGAGAGGAGTGGAGGAGGAAGCCCTCTCCAGAAGGTTCCTCTGTCCCCCTTACAATTTAGGAATATTCACGTTCTCCCTACAGAAGCAGTCCATACTCTGGTCTTGGATTTGCAGCCTCGTGTCCAATCACAGCTGAGCATGAGGTTCTATCGAAGGCACCAACTTCCTGAACAAAAGGTGTGTCTGGAAGGCGGGACTTCCCTCTTTTGCTCCCGATCATTTTTGGGCTGCTCTTCCTTGAGGCGTTGCAGCTGCTGACCACCAGGGCGGGGCTGGGAGTTCTTCTTTGGGTGGCTGGGGGCTGGCGGTCCAGCCTGGCAACAGACTGGGGCTACGCTGCCCTGGAGCAGGCAAACTGGACGCAACAGCAAAGGGGTCAGGGGGCACAGGCGCGGAAGGCTCCCTTGGGGCTGAGAAGTCCCCACAGGCAAACGGATCGGGGTCGCGCACCACAAACGGATTGGTGCCTTCGGAATTCAGTGGCTTGAATGGGCGTATCCCTAGTTGCGGGGACTGAACGGGTGACGCACGGGGTCCGGAAGACACAAAACTCCAAGGGTCGATGCGACTGCGGACGGGAGAAGGCCGTGGCCGGGAGATCAGGTTGGAGTGAGAGGCAGGGCGAGGTGACCGCGGGCTGCGGGGAGAGGAGGGAGATGGGAGAGCTCCATCTGCAGGGAACAGAGAGAGAAGCAAGCGTCAGCAGATGTGTTAAAACAAGTGTGTGTGGGGAAATCCTCCCGAGCATATTGTGCTAACTGAAATCGGCATGTAAAAATCCACACCCAACTGGCAAGCTTGGAAACCGGAAGATCAATCAACCAAGGCTTTACCTGGTCCAGCCACAAGGGCCCGTTTTTATCAGCGGAGACAAGAATTGCACAACACAGCCTGTTCCTTTTAAGCTGTGTTGCTTCTGGCATTCAACCGAAACGGGAAGTTTAAAAAGAAAAGTCTGAAAACAGTGATTTCTCCTTGTAGGGGCAAAGGGTGGTTTTTATTCTATAAACTGTAAAGTTATCCCATGCTTCATCTACCAACTCGGAAGGGGACCCATGTTGAGGCTTTGAACATATGCAAACGAATTTACATTAAAATTGACAAGTCTGATCATCAATGCTCCTTCTAAGCTGTGGAGTCTTGTGAGAAAAAATTCTACTTTGTGAGCTACTGACATTAAAGCTGTGAGTGAGCAATTTGGCTAGTGCATAAATTAGTTTGCTCTGGAGCCATCCTTCCTGAGCTAAGACAAAAATGTGTGAGCTGGAGGCTAAAAAACTGTGAGCTAGCTCACAATAACTCAGCTTAGAGGGAACACTGCTGATAATTTAAAATCCTGTAATCTTTTGACGATCTGACCTACAAACAGCCAAGCTAGCCTAATCTCAGAAGCTAAGAAGTATTTGAATGGGAGGCCTCCAAGGAATACCAGGGCTGGGACGCAGAGGCAGGCAATAGCAAGCCACCGCTGAAAACGTCTCTTGCCTTGAAAACCCTAAGGGGTCACCATAAGTCAGGTGTGATTTGGCAGCACTTTCCACTACCAATCATTTGACAAGTGTGCCTATTTTCCTATATCAGTGTGTGTGTGTTTATGTGTACACCCACACACACTCTTCATCCAATAACATTTACAGACCCTGTTGGCTTTAAGGGCCCGTATCCAATGCAAGGTTCAGTGATCTGCTACAGGGCCTGCTTCTCCCTGTCAAATCATTGCTAGCAGCACCATTCAGCTGTTCAGGGAGAACTTGGCATGAGGGATCCAAATGCATCCTCTGGATCCCTGCTTTTGTCCACCAAACAGATGAACAGCGCTTATTATTTACTCATTTATTTAAACCATTTTGTAGCTGCCTTTCTACCTACGGGACTCAAGGCGGCTTAGAACATAAAAGACAAAAATGCAGAAAACACACAAAAGGCCATGAATTAAAATCACAATTAAAAACTGCCAACAGGTGGTGGTGGGGGAAACGAATGGAATGACATCCTGAATAAAACTGTCTTCAGCTCCTCCTAAAGATCAAGAGAGAGGGGACCAGGCATATCTATTGCTGCACATAAACTGACCAGGGTTACATGCATGAAGATTACATGAAGTATGCCCTGCTAGATGGAGTCAGAAGCCATGCACATAGCTTCCAGCGGTACCTGTGGTCCCTTCATGGTCCTTCTCCCCTTTGGAGTTCACAGGTGCAAGCCAGTTTCTGCACTCGCAGCTTACACCGGGGGATGTCTGGATGGGGAGGGAGGAGTGCCATGCACTTCCCATTCACAATATTGGTCTAGGAGCTATGGGGCACGTGGCAAAGGTGGGAGAAAGGGAGAATGGGGCTCTCAGATCCATCCACATGTGGGTGTTGTAGGATCACACCTGCATGTGGATGTATCTTGACACTGACTGTCAAGAGCAAAGTTTGAAACTTCAGCATTTTGGATTCCAATTCCATATCTGGAGGTTTGCGGTTGTATTTCTCGTTTGCATCAACATTGCCCGACTGCCGTGCCGTCCCAAGTACTCAACCAATAACCTACCCCATTTTGGGGTTCTGTTGCTGCGACCCTCCGCGAGTCTTGGGATCTTGGGTGACATCTGGGCCCAAAGAGGCGGCAAAGCATTCCTGTTGCCCACCGAGGCCAGGTCGACGAGGAGATCGGTGGGGGGGTCCTCTTTACACAACTCTACCAGCAGGGCAGGGGTGGATTCCCTTCGAGGGGGGGTTGGCGGGAGTTCCTGAGGGGTAGATGGCAGCTCTCGGCCCAGGCCGAGGGAAGCAAGCAAGGCTGTGCCCCGGAGCAGGGCCCTCTGGATGAGCCGGGAAGGGCTGGGCCGTTCTGGTGCTGGATCCTCCGCTTCAGCAGAATCGCCCGAGGTGTTGCCTACAAGGACAAGAAAGGTGGTGGTGGTGGTGGGGAAATCAGCCATTACACAGAATTAGGAAAACGTACCCTGGAAGCTGCATTCCTAGAATCAAATGCAAACCGTAAACTGGAGGCTGTACTCCTAGGATCAGATTGAGTACCCCTAAGTGCTGCATGTCCATTTGCAGAGGTCATTTCAGGGGGGAACGCGGGGGAACACAGTTCCCCCGGGTGAGGTACGGGGGGTGGGGCACATGACGAAGCCCCGCCCCCTGATTCCACCCCTGCCTGCCTGGGGCCAGGGAGGGCCTTTGCGGGGCTTCCTTGCACTCCTGCCGGCCTTGCAGCTCCACCGCCGGGCCCCTCATGGGCCAGGACCGTTGGGGGAGGGGTGTGTGGCCTTATGACACACTTCCGGTGATGTCAGGGGGTGTGGCATATGCTAATGAGTTATGCTAATGAGTCCCCCTAGCTCTTTTTCTACGAAATGACCCCTGTCCATTTGGCATCAAAGGAAGGGGGGTGGGAGGGCCTTGGGTTAAGTTCCTAACTGCATAAAAACATCCTGCAATGGCAATCCCAGATTTTTTTTTTGCAACTATCAGAACAGGACACAGCAGGCACTTCTACTGATGTGGTGAGAGCGCTGGAGTAGAAGCCGAGAGATCCAGGTTCAAATCCTCGATCAGCCCTGAAACTGGCTGGGTAGAGCTTTGGGCCTGTCCCTCCGCCTAACCTACTTCACAGGGTTGTTGTTAGGATAAAGTGGGGATGTGGGAGACTGTGTGCATTGCTCTGGGCTCCTCGGAGGAAAAGCATTCATTTCAAAGAGGCTTGCATGGGAGAACTTTCCCCTCCGTTGTGTCCAAATGTTAATTCATGGAAGCTGTGAGTGAACCCAATAGGGTTCACTCAGCAACTGCATCTAGGTCTTTGAGAGCCAGTGTGGTGTAGTGGATAGGAAGGTGGACTCTAATCTGGGAGAACCAGGTTTGATTCCCCACTCCACCATATGCAGCTGCTGGTGTGACCTTGGGGTCAGTCACAAGTTCTTTCAGAGTTGTTCTCTCAAGAGCAGTTCTCGAAAGAGCTCTCTCAGCCTCACCTACCTCAAAGGGTGTCTGTTGTGGGGAGGGGAAGGGGAAGGAGATTGTAAGCCGCTCTGAGACTCTGAGTGAAGGGTGGGATATAAATCCAATCTCTTCTTCTTCTTAACAACCATTTGATGTGTTGAATACACGAATCTTCCTGATACTGGACCATACGACTGGTCCATGAAGGTCAGTATTATAAAACAGTGGCAGTTTATAGACCAACGAAATGTATTGCCGCATCAGCTTTTCCAAGTCAGAGCACACTTTGGTGGCTCTAGTCCTGACTCTTTTTAACTGGAGATGCTGGGGACTAAACCAGGTCTTTTCTGCACGAGAACCAGAGGTCCCCAGTTAGCATCAGTCTCAGGTGCTGACGCTCCCCCCAAGTTGTGAAAAGCATCACTAACTCTCTTCTGCACCTTTTTTTTTGGTCGCAACATGTGGCATCAAAATAAGAGAGTGGGGGAGGAGAGAGAAAAAGTCTTCTCCGTCTGCTTTCTCCGCACCATGCATTGCTGTATAAAAATACCATGAAATAGCTCCCTTTGGCCATTTTTTCCCTGGGGAAAAAGGGTTCAGTATAACTCAAAGGCTTCAAACTGCATTGTGGCCGGAAACTGGAAACCGGACAGGAAGGAGAACGCGGCTTCAGCTCTGGAGCACAGCTAGAATCCCCTAGGCCTTTCTTGAGCTCACCTCTTTCGCACGAGGGCCCACAGATACACTCGGTGGTTATGGTGGTGGAAGGTGCCGTCAAACTTGCAGCAGACTTATAGCAACCTCATAGGGTTTCTTCAAGGCACGAGAGGTTCAGAGGTGGTTTGCCATTGCCTGCCTCTCTGCAGAGACCCTTCCTCGGGGGCCTCCCATCCAAGGACTAACAAGGGCCACCCCTGCTTAGCTGCTGCCCAGGTCCAGGGTACATGCTTGGTGGCTGCAGATCCAACTCAGCGAGCACTCCCAGAGGAACAGCAGTGCAAACCAGTTGAAAAGAGGGAGGGACAGTGGGGAGGGACTCACCATTCTGACTGAGCTGGGTCTGGATCTGCGTAGGAGGATTTGGTGCTTCCGGCTCCACGTACCAGGTAGTTTCTTCCAAGTTTCTTCTCCTGGGGACAGACAGACAGACAGGAAAGGGTTCAGAATGCATTCAAAGACATTGCACATCCCTCGCTCGCTCACACAGATGATGCAGAGAATGCCTGTCCGTATAGATTATCCATGTGCATTAATGCCGCAGCATGCCTTTCCCTTCCCCCTTCACCTTCATCAGAAGTTTGGAGACCAGTCCTGGGGCAGCCCCATTGTGGACATAACAGAGAACCCAGAAATGCTCCTGACCTGCTCCCTCACCCATTCAGGGTTCCCCTTTGGAAACGATGACCTGGGAACGTGGAAAGCGAAAGATCCACTGCTCTGTGTGAGTCCAATCCTCAGCATCTCGAGTTAAAAGAATCCTATAACAGGTGACGTGGAAGACCTCAGCCTGAGACCCTGGCGAACCGCTGATAGTCAGAGTAGACAATGTTGACCTTGCTCAGCCAATCATAGAATCATAGAGTTGGAAGGGACCTCCAGGGTCATCTAGGTTCAACCCCTGCAGGAAATTCACAACTACCTCCCCCCCCACACACACACACACCCAGTGACCCCTGCTCCATGCCCAGAAGACAGCAAAAAACCCTCCAGGATTCCTGGCCAACCGTCTCACTCGGCAGAAGGCAGCTTCATCTGTTCTTGTTCTAGGTTTCCTTCTGGGGGTTCTACCACCCAAGCCTCCTGCCTCTCAAGGATAAACATGTGAGCCAGAAATTTGGTCTCTACCCCCTCTCTTTCTGACTTAACTTCCAAAGTGGGGAGGGTTGGTGCTAGGTTTCAAGACAGTCTGGAAGCTGTGCCCTGGAAGATCAGACATCAAATGGGTGGGGAAGGGATTAATGCTGGCTCAGACGTGAGGGAAAATGCACTCTGCACATCCTCAAAGGAACACTCCGGTAGCATCATCTCACCAGTGTCTACACTGACTAGGTACCCTGTTCTGATGGTGATGCAGAAGGACGACACACGCTCCTGTCTCTCCAAATGGAACAAAATCCCTGCCACAGCTCCCATTCAAAGTGAAGTCAAAATACAAAGCAGGAAGTCAAAATATGGCTATCAGCCTCTCCCCCCGCTGTCCCGAATATACAAACTGCTCTCAAAAGTGGGGGCAGGCACATGGTTGCCATTTTGGCAGAAGACCGTCTCACAGTAAAGGTCCTCTGCTACAAAGGGCAGTAACTGAAAATAAGCAGGACAGCCGGGGGAGGGGGGGGGGGACAGGGAAAGGGTGCCCCCTACCTTCCATTCTGTGTAGTGCTCTCCCACGGTTTTGGGGAATTGGGACTCTTGGTGCGGCTGTTCCAGACCTCTTCCCCTCGACGTGGAGACTGGCGCCCCCAATTCTGATCATTCTCACTTGGGTCCACTGTTTGGAAAAAGAGTTAAGTGCATCAAATCACATATCTACACACTAAGCTAAATCAATTCAAGCTCCAATTGCTTAACGCGTGAAAATGGGCAGCTGAAAATTTTCCATGGCATGGAGGTAAATAACATCACCTGGTAAACAGCACCCCCTTGAGCCTCTGTTAAAGAGACAGGACATTTTTTTTTTTCTCCAGGCAGTTCAATTTAAGAATTTTTTTTGGGTCTTCCAAGTAAAGCTGCTGGAGCAACTTTTGCAAGGAAAAGAACACTGCAGGGGAAAGGCAAGCGGCAAGGCCATGAAAAAAAGACACCACCCTCAAGTCATTTTTATCCCTGCTGTGGAAAATGTATGGGTGCCTCTATTGTTTTCTCCCGCAGGGATACCCAGCAGCTGTTGTGGCTTTTATAACCTGGAAAAACCCCAAGGGGAGGGAGAAGTCTCCTCCCCCCACACCCAGCACCAGGCTCCCCTTTTAAAAAAAGCGGCCCCTGTGGCTGCATTTGGAAAATGAAAGAATTTTTTTTTTTTCAAATTCCCTTGGAAGCAAACATATTATTTTGAGGCTTAGCTGCAACTAATTCCAAGTCTCACGGACTTCAGTGAAACTTTCTGGGGCTGAGCGTGTTCCCATCATGGGGAAGAATAAGATCTGTTATTTTAGTCCATTGTGACCTACTCGTGAGAATCTGCAGTCTATCAGGTTGCTTGTGGTTTTAAAAAAAGGAACATAAACAAAGACGACAACACTGGCATCACTAAGGAGTATTTGGACAGGAGAGAGCTGTCATTCTGTCACGGTGACAGGGCATTATGGTAAACAGACGTGTGACATCATAGGTATCCACCCATGACTTTGGCATTATGGTAAACAGACATGTGACATTCTAGGTATCCACCCATGACTTCGGCTTATTTTTGGCCAATCAGAGAAGTGCAACCGTTGCTCATAAGGATGTTATCATTGAGGAAAGCTGCATCCTAGGCTCAGGGAAACGCAAACTGAATTTCCATGCATCTAGGCTGCAACTTTCCTCAGTGATGACATCCATATGAGCAACAGTCAGAAAATTTCAAAACCTACTATTTCCACAGGAATCACTTTTTCTACACTAGAAACACTGAATCAGATTTCTGCAGCATAGCAACATTTCAGCTGACGTTTTTCAAATGGACACAGCCTTACACCTCAGTGACCAGGGAAGAAGACCTTGGAAATAAGTGCCCAGACTGTCCCACTCCAGGCCCTGTATGAGGTAAGCTACTCCGTTGATCCACATTCTATTGCTGACCCTCTTCCCCTTCCCCTCAGATGTTAGAATATTTGTGAACATTTCTTGACATCACAGCAGCTCAGCCTACAGCTGGTGTCCCACTCACATTCCTGAGTTCACTCTCAGAAACATTATAAATTCTGATAGACTTCTTTCTTCATTCATGTACTCATTTCAAAACAGGTCTCCTTGACAGCAGGTAATTATTATGTCAGAGACTGTTTGAGAAAAGGAAGTGGGGCCATA